ACACACACACACACACACACACACACACACACACACACACACACACAGCTCTGCAGGGACACAGGACTCCAGCCCTGGGAGGCTAGGACCTAACCACAGGTCACCTGCCCGAAGGTTGCAGGGCGTGTGTGCTGAGCGTGGCTTGTCGGTGGCTTTGAAGCCACAGATCACAAGCCCAATGTTGCTGGCCCTCACTGTCAGAGAAAAATGACCAGCCAAGGAGGACACAGTTGAGGTGACAGCTCCCGCCCCCTGCAGGCCTTCACTGGCCTGGAGCCAGCTGCCAAAAGACCAGAGGCTTCAGTTCATGGCCGTATCTGTGAGCCAAGTGTGGGGCAGAAACAGGCTGCAGGCTAGCCGGGGCTCATCACAGACTGTCCCGAAAGAGGGATAAACAAAGGGCTGGGGTGATGGCTTGCTTGGTGAAGGGCCTGCCTCGGGAGTTTGATAGCTAGGACTCGTGTCCTGAAGCCCGTCTGGGTGGCCTGTGCTTCTAACCCCCGGCTGGGGAGGTGCGGATGGGCGAACCATGGGGCCTCCACACACAGCCAAGAGGGCTGCTCAGTGAGCTCCAGGCCAGCGGGACTGTCTCAAAACATGGGGTGCGCGGCCCCTGACACCCACAGCTGGCCTTCCATGCCAACTGCAGATATGCACACATACAGAGAAACAGGGCCAAAGGAACACCTCCAGGGTGCCTCGGCCACATAAGGGGCGTACCTACAAAAATGTCTTAGGGATTTCTGCGGCTGGGGCCACTCAGATGGGCCCCGAGATGTGCTCTGGAGCCTTCCCGGGGCTTGGCCATGCCTGCCTGTCCCGGCACCACACAATCCATCCCCCGTCACCTCTGCCTCTCTGGAGGTGCAGGCAGGAGGGCTGCAAAGGAAGCCACGCTCCGAGGTTCCCGTTCCCAGGAGGCCTAAGGAGGGATACTTTGATTTTATTTTTAATTGCATTTATTTATTCATGTATTCACTCTCTCCATCTCTCTCTGTGTAGGTTCACACCTGTGCTAGGTCAACTTCAACTGTATGTTTAATGATTTCATTAGCAACCAATCTAAGAAAACAATGAACCAGCCAAGTATGCTGTCATACGCCCGTCATCCAAACACTCAAGAGGCTGAGGCAGGAGGATTGCCAGAAGTTTCAGGCCAGCCTGGGCTATTAGACCCATTAGCCTGGATACTTAAAAAATAAAGCAAAACAAAACAAAACACCAGACAAACCCATTGACATCCTTGCTTGCCTGTGTTCGCCCGGCTGAGGCCCTTCCTTCCCAGCTCGGGGACATCTGTTCTACGTGGTGCTGAGTGTGGCACAGAGTGTGGAACTGAGAGGCGTCGTTGCAGCTCACCCACTGACAAACAGGCAAGAAGTCCTTCTGCTTGTCCTCCCCAAAAGCCTTGTCAGGCCAACCAGTCACTTCCCCAGGGGCCCCAAACCAGCCTCACCCTCAGAGCAACCATAGGCAGCAGCCGCTGGCGAATCTGTGCCAGGTGCTGGGGCCAAAACAAATCTGCTTTTTTTTTTTTCTGGTGGTGGTAGTGGGGGGATACCGTAGATAGAACCCAGGGCCTCCCTTGCTCTGGAACGCATTTCACTGAGCCACCCTCAGCCCCTCACTGGGGGCATCTCAGGCACGCGCTCTACCACCGAGCCACACCCAGCCCTGTTTCTCTTATTATTTTGTGACAGGATCTCACTAAATTGCCCAGATGGTTTCTAAGCTTATTCTGTAGCCCAGGCTGACCTCAAGCTCTCCATCCCCCTGCCTCAGCTTCTTGAGCAGCTGGGGTGACAGGCCCATGTTACAGGCCCCAATATTGCTCTTACTCGCTGAATTTGCCCAGCCTGTCTGCAGGAACCTTTTGCAGACACCAGGACTCAGAGACTGAACCTGGGGAAGGCAGGAACCTGCTCGCATCCTCATTCCCAGGCCGCTATCGCTGTGGCCCTCTTCTAACACTTAACATGGCCATCTTTTGAGGCCACAGGCAGTCACCCTGAGGTTCAGTTCCAGCCGTGTGCCACCTGAAGGCAGCGAGAACACGGCACACTCACGCGCTGTTTGCGGTGGCAAGGAGAGGCCTTACAGTTACTTGTCCCCACCGCCAGAGCCAAAACACCCACACGGTGACCCCGCAAGGCCACACCTCAGGGACTTGTCTGGCTCTGTCACACACAAAAAAAGTAGGCTCAAGTGGACATCTCCCATCTGGAGAGAGTGAAGTGCCTGAATTCCTGTGTGAGCAACTCAACAGGACCCCACCCCCACACTCCCAGCTTCTTCATATTTACAGTCAGAACAGCTCTTTTCTAAGGCAAAGCTCCACAGAGTGAGGTTTCTGTTGTGTTTCCAGGTAAACTTGGGGGAGGAATGCTGTAGCATCCATCATTGCTTAAATCGCCTATTGTCCCCATGACATTCCAGGCAGCTCTCAATGGAAGACTCCGAGAGGCTTGTTCTTACGGGCTGAGAACCTGAAGGGCATGAAAACCTGTTGGCTCAGTCAGCGCTGCCGGGATCTACGATTCTGAAAGCTTAATGACGGGGGACAAAGCTCTGAGGAATGAGGGCTGCGGATAGGACTGTCACTCAGGAAGAGGTGCCCAGGGCAGCCTGGCAGCCTTGTGCCGCCTCGTCTGCTAAGCTGCGATTCCTCCGGGCAAACATCAGCCACTGTCACGTAGCCGGGCAAGGAGCTGGGTTGATAAAACGGACCCCGGTTCCCTCCCTAGAACTGGCTAGAACTTCCTGGAAGCTGGGTGTGCTGTGGGTTTCAATCCCAGCACTGGGAGGCAGAGATGGGAAAGCCCTCAGCTTGCCTGTTGCCAACCTGGCCTAATCAGTGAACCCAGGCCCTCGACAGACCCAGTTCCCAGCACCCACACGGTGGCTCACCACACACACGCACACACACACACACATAGAAAAAGAAAGAAAGAATCCAGGCGTGGTGGCACACGTCTGTAATCCCAGCACTCGGGGAGGAGAGGCAGGCAGATCTCTGTGAGTTCAAGGCTAGCCTGGTCTATAAAGTGAGTCCAGGACAGCCCAGGCTACACAGAGAAACCCTGTCTGGAAAAAAATCAAACAAACAAACAAAAAGCAGAGCAGACCCCTAGGCCTGAGCAAGGTGCAGTGACTGGTCAGGTCAGGCTGGGAGCCACAGGAAGCTGGAACCAGGAAGGACCTGTGAGGGTGTACTTGCCTTTGCATCCTGCACATTAAATACTCTTTAGATTCATTTCTGCACAAAGCGTTTTCATAATTCTTGTCACGGAGACACTTCATGAATTTTTCTTTAAAGCTTTTACATTCACCTAGGAAGAAAAGAAAGGCAGCATGCTAAGGCCTGACCTGCTCACAGGAACAGCCTTAGGAGCAGCGCTAGGGTTCCTGTCAAAATTCCTTCCCCTAGTGAGTCTGTAGGTGCGGCTCTGAGGGAGTGTGCACACTCTGAGGGAGTGAAACACATGGCATACAGTCCCTGGGGTCCGACTCCTCTGCACTTCAAAACAAGGGCCCTGGAGAGATGGCTCTCCAACGCTGGCTGCTCCCGCAGAGGACCCGAGCTTGCTTCCCAGCACCCGTACTGAGGAGCTAACAAACGCCTGCCACTCCAGCTCCAGGGCATCAAACAGCCCTCTCTGGCCACCAGGAGGGCGTCTGCACACACACGGTGCATGGACATACACTCAGAAACACATAGATGTACACACAGTTAAAAAACTAAAATAAAGCCAGCCATACCAGACACACATGCAATCCCAGCCCTTCAGAGGCAGAGGCAGGAGGATCTCTGTAAGTCTGGGGCCAGCCTGGTCTACAGAGTGAATCCAGGACATCCAGGGCTACACAGGGAAACCCTGTCTCGAAAAACAAAATGCAAAATTAATTAATAATTAATTTAAAAAGTACATTTTTAAAATGGAAATTTTACCAATGAAATGTTGGTAAAGAAATCATAGAGACGGCTCAGCAGATAAAGGTACTTGCTACCAAACCTGACAACGGGTTTGATCTCCAAGACCCACATGGTGGAAAGAGGCCCCCCTCCCCACCCCTCCACAGGTTGTCCTCTGACCACATGTGTATCATGGCACATCCCAAACACACTAAATAAATAAATATAACTTTAACGCTGTCTCTGGAACTGAGTTTCCACAATAGCTTACCTGATGCTCAGTCTATACTAACATGCTCCAGAAACACAGGGTCAGCAGCATTTCTCAGGGCTGTCCTTGTTTGGTTGTGGTAGGTTTGGGAGGGGGCTGAGGACTGAACTCAGGGCCTCCTGTTCCTGTGAGGCACCTGTTCAGCCTCTGAGCTATAGCCCCAACCCTCTCCTGGTAGTTTCTGGGGTTTGTTTTTGGTTTGGTTTTTTTTTTGTTTTTTTTTTTTTCCTTATTTCTTTTTCTCTTAATGTTTCAGTTTTCTAAAACTAACTATAGACTATAGACTTCAGAACTGTGAATGTTAACCCTCTGGGCTGGGGGCGTGGCTCACAGGTGGGGCACTTGTCGAGCATGGGCCTGTGCCCTGGCTGGTGGCTCTCTGGAATGAGGATCCTCAAGATTCGGATTCCCTGCCTGCACTTCCACAGGGCTCTGAGCAAGCCCAGCCCCCACGGCCTGAGAAGCGCCTGTAATTCTAACTGCTCTGCATCCCTAGGTTCAGTTCCTCATTACCCAAATCCAACACATATGACCCTACCATGCAGGTCTATTACCCCACGCGCTGCTCCTCAGCTTCAGCATCCCTACCTTGGCTTTCAGACCCTTGATCCGGCACCCCAGACACCGTCACATCCAACATCCAACTCCTCAGACACTCCACCTGTATCCGGTACTCTGACCCTACCACCCAGATCCTGCACCCATAACCCTGTCACACAAACCCAGCACCCCTGACCCTGGCATCCAGAGCCAGTATCCCAGACCCTGCCACTCACCTCCAATACCCCTGACCCTGGCACCTGTCACCGAGAAACAGCACTGCAGAGCCTACTACCCAGACTCAGCACCCCAGACGCTGCCACCCAGATTCAGTACCCCTAACAATGCCACCAGCAGCAGCCGGAGCCTCGCCTCGCCTCACCGAAATGGTCCAGCGGGAAGCTGCCTTTGTCTGGTGGCCGCGGTTGGAAGCTTTTGGTCCCGAAGTTCATTGCGGTCGACATGACGGCGGAATCAAGAGCAGAGAGCAGCGGCGACGCAGGACGGGCGGTCGAACACCGAGCAGGCCCAGGAAGCGCCGAGCTAGTCGAGCGCTGGGCTGGCCCCGCCCAGGCCCCGCCCTGCCCGCCCGTCCGTCCCCGCCGCGCTGTGAAAGGACCCGCGCTTTGTGGCTGCAATCAGATATTTACCAAGCAGTCATCTTTTGGTACCGATGAGCAAACAAGGCCTAAGAGGTGCAGCCGGAGGGCGTCAGTTCGTGTCCCGGGACCTTCATCCCACCCATCTTCCTACCCGGGTTTCACCGTTTGCTCAGAAGGTCTAACGAAGGCCAGAAGCTCACTAAAGAAGCGGTGGCAGCTTACTGTGGATGTTGTGACACAGTGCCACAAACAGAGGTTTTACAAACAGAGGTTAAACCAGTGTCTCACACTGGTAGTCCCAGAGCTCGGAAGGCCGAGGAAGGAGGATTGCCTGCGTGTTAGGCAAACCTGGGCTGTGCCGCAAGACCCAGTCTCACAAAACAAAACAAAATCGCATCTTCTGAGGTTCAAGACACCAGAAGCCTGAGCCTAAGGTGTGGGCCATTAGCCCTAATGTTGGCTGCTGTCCCTACGGCCTGCTCCAGGGAGCCCAGGTTACCCCGGACCCCCAGCTTCTGAGGTGTTCTGTCAATCTTGGGTAAATCTGGGCTGCTAGAACAATGCCCCTCCTGGGTGTCCATCTCTGGGCGCATCATTCTCCACGCGTCTGTATCCAAACATACCTTTTATGAGGGCATTGCCACACTGGGGTAGGGCCATCCCAACAATCTTTTTCTTTCTTTTCTTTTTTGTTTTGTTTTGTTTGAGACAGGGTTTCTCCTGTGCAGTCCTGTCTGTCCCGGAACTCTCTCTGTAGACCAGGCTGGTCTCAGCGATCCACCTGCCTCTGCCTCCCGAGTGCCGGAGTTAAAGGTGTGCTCCACCACGCTTAGCTGATCCCACCGATCTCAACCTCAGCTGCTCACACCTGCACAGCACTACTGCAAAAGAGAGCACCAGGTCCTGGGGGCTGGGATGTGCCACGCAGATCTGGGAGGAGTCTGTGGAAGTGAGATGCAGTCTACCGGTTTGCTGCTGTTGTTACGGCAGTTAACACGTGTGTCCAGCACTCCTGCTTTTCAGCTTGAGGGGGACAGAGCAGACTGCTTGTGTCCTGCCTCCCCGAACTGACTGTGGTCGTAAGATGTGTCCTGCATTTCATCCCAGTTAAAAATGGTTCCTGCACTCCACACCAGGCCAGGCCCTGGCAGTGAGCAGGATATGCATTCTAGCAGCTCCTTGGGGCCAGCTCTCCCGCTACAGTTCGTGACATCACTAATGTGCCCAGTTTTGGGGAGGAGGAGCAGCTCCCAGGGGCCTCAGTGAGGTGCTTGCTCAGCAGATCTGCCTGCCCCCTTTTACCTTGCTGGACTCCCCTCCTCCATAGGCATCCATTGGTCTCCTTGCTGGATCCCACGCTGTGTGGGAAGCCGGATTTAGCTTCCTGTGTCCAGGCCTACAGATGGCCTTGCAGAGGGATACCACCTCCCTACCCAAACCTCCAGAAAGCTGGGGAGATGGGCTTAGCAGACAAGAACACTTGCTATACAAACGTGAGGACTTGAGTTCAAATCCCCAGAGCTCACCAAAAAAAAAAAAAAAAAAAAAAAAAAAAAAAAAAAAAAGGAAAAGGCAGATGCTGTGGTCCTGTAACAGCACTGTAAGGGCTTGGTGCTGGCTGACTGCCAGCCTGGCCTGTCACAAGGGGATAAGGTGGAGAGTGGTGGTAGAGCAGCACACAGACATCCTCTGGTGTCCACACTTGCATGGGGTACACACACACATATATGTGTACATGTTCCACACACATACTTGCGCGCAAGCACGTGCACCCACAGTTAAAGGGAGACTCCAGAATGAAAAACGTACTTTGTACTTGTCTTATAAACAGCTTTTTTCCACCTTTTCTTTGCCTGGAACCAGGGGCCACACACTGAGTTACTCATTAATGCTTTTTAAGCTGTGAACAATGATGGCCTTTATAACTCAACCAGCCGGCCTTTCCACTTAAAATGAAAGGACATCTCTGTCCCTGAGGAGGCAGGATCTCTGTCAGGCAGCCCCAAAGAACCAAGAAAGCAGCAGGGGCTACGACAGCCAGCTTTGAATCCTCCATTCCTAGAAAATGGCTACTGCCTTGTCTGAGCTCTCTTCTGTTGCTTGTTTTGATTTTGGTTTTAGTTTTGGTTTAAGACAGGGTCTCACTCTATAGCTCTGGCTAGCCACAAACTCACAGAGATCTGCCTCCCTCTGCCTCCTAAGTGCTGGGTTTTCAAGTGTTATGATCAAAAGTGTACACCCTGGCCAGTGAGGGAGGTGTGTGGTGTGTGTGTGTGTGTGTGTGTGTGTGTGTGTGTGTGTGTGTGTAGTTGGATGCACCTGGGTGTGCACAGAGGCCAGAGAAGGATGTCAAGCATCTTCTTCCATATTGCTTTGAGGTGGGGGTCTCTCTCTGAACTGGAAGCTCACCATTTTGGCAAAGCTGGTTCACCAACAAGCTCTCAAGATCCACTTGTCTCTGTCCCTGCAATGGAGGCTCAGCCCTGCCTGCCTTTTTATGTGGATGCTAGAGATTCAAATTCAAGCCCTCATGGTTGTGCAAAAGAACTCACAGTTTTGACCTTAGGCTGATGATGGGAGCATGCCTATGTCCTTGGACTGTTGGTGTTCTACACCTGGGCTCTAGCACCTGCCTAGAAACACCCCCCCCCCCCCGTAAGAGGCTGTGGGCATGGCTCAGTGGTAGAGCCCCTGCCTAGACCCTCCCCCCAGTGAGGGACTGGGGTGTGGCTACAGTAGATCTCTTCTGTCCTGGCCTCTGGAGTGCTACAGTATCCCCAGAGTGTCCCTAGATCCAAGTGTGGGACATACAGACCCCTTCTGAAAGAAAGATGACATTGTATTACATGGCGGACATATGACAGGGAGCATCTGTGTTTTCACCTTCGGTGGGTATCTGGCCACCTCCACATTAGGTCAAGGCTAGATGTAGCCCGAGCCAGCCAATCAGAGCTCTGCATACCAGGATCGCCCAGGGCATCTGTCAGCCTGCCCCCACCAAGCAAATCTGATGAGAACAGACCCTCAGCGGATTGAGCAACCTTGCTGGAGACGGTTGGTGACACACCTTTCCTGGGTGTGGGGAAATTCCATAAAAATTAAAAAAGGAAATGGCCCTGGGGCTGCTGGGGATGTAGCTCAGTAAAGCTAAGATTTAATCCCCAGCGTGCGCACACACACACACACACACACACACACACACACACACACACACGAACAGCCACCAGGCATGATGGTGAACTCCTACAATGTCAGGAGAAACAGTGGGGGGGGGGGGGAAGTAGTTCAAGGTCAACCTGGGCAACACAAATAGATCCTGTCTCAAAAAACTGAGGACTGGGGATGTAATTCAAGAGCAGAGTGTTAGGTCTCAAACCTAACACTGGGGAGGGGGAGACAAACAACAAACTGGCTGAGGTGCCTATTTAACATACCAAAGCTGGCCTGACTGCCAGATTCTCCCAGCATTCCTCAGTCTCTACCTGTTACAGGGTAGGTATGGCTGGCACACCTACTTTACCTATGCCCTACCCATACTGCGCCCCCTCCTCTAAGCTTCTGGAGCCCAGGGGTTGGCCTGCTCTTCCCCCCAGCTCCCCTCTCCTGTATAACCCACCCATTTTGGTTGCCCAGCTCTTTTTGTGTACCCTCTCCTCTTCTATCTTCCCCCTCTCCTCACATAGCTCCACTCAGGGTCATGTTCACTCTGGACTCTCCCAGATGTCCCTGCCTCTGGCTATGCTCTCCCTCACATCCACAACAAACCTTCTCCTCCACCATACCCAGGAGCAGACATATCCTTCCTTTTTATTTTTTTCTTTTATAGAGCACCTATCTAGAATCCCCTATTAAGGACCTGGGGACTGAGGGTGTGGTTCAGTGGTAGAGCATCTGTCTAGAGAATCCCCCAGTGAGGGGCTGGGGTGTGGCTTGGTAGTAGAATACTTGTTCATCAAGGCCTTGGGTTTGATTCCCAGCACCACAAGAAATAATAACAAGCTCCAGCAGCCTTGTTCAGGCATCCCTTTGCTCCTATTTTGCAGCATCTCTTATGGGTATGGACAGTTCTTAGTATTACTACATAGAACAAGCTGGTCCAGAGTTCACGATCTTTCTGCCTTAGCCTCTCAGAGCCGGGATCCCAGGTGTGCTCACCTCCCTCTGTTCTACCCTCCTGTCTTTAGCACATTGCTTTGTGACAGCTTGAGACTGGGAACAATGTGAAACTTACACCCCCCAGGCCCGGCCCAGCAGAGGAGGCCGTGTCTAATTCTGGGTACACAGTCTTGTTAAAAATAGCACCAAACAATGCATGATGGGCATATGGCGGGGGACACACTGGGCTCAAGGAAGCTGTTGGGTGATGGGGTGATGATACTTGCTAGACTAATTGTGGTAATGGCCCAGACACATGTCAAAACTCATCAGGATCTGTTTTAAATTGCTCTCTCTCTCCCTCTCTCTGTCTGTTTCTCTCTCTCACACTGGTGGCTGGGGCCCTGGGCCTTGTGCATGCTCACTGAGTGATCTTCTGCTAAACTGTACCTATCTGCAGCCCAGACTGAGTGCTTCATGCATGTGGCTTAGCATTGTAAGTGTGGAGAATAGACGGGTAAGCTGTGCAAGCATGAAGACTTGTGATCCACCCCCTGTACCCAAGTAAAAAGCCAGGCAAAGAGTATGTGGCACACACTTGTAATCACAGCACTGAGGAGGCTGAAACAAAGGCCCTGGAAGGCTAGCTGGGCAGCCAGCCTCGCAGAACTGATGAGCTTCAGGCCAGTGAGGACCCTGTCTGAACAGGGGATCTGCAGGGCTCAGGGGTAAAACGCTTGCTGAGCTGAGGAGCCCAGATCCTATGTAAAAGTGATGTCCTTCCTGCCTGAAATCCCAGTGCTCCTGCAGCAAGATGGAAGGTGAGGACGGGAGAAATCCCAAAAGCCCTTAGGCCGGCTTAGCGTTTCATATGCAGCTGCAAACAGGGGATCCCGGCACAAACAAGGTGGAAGAACTGACAACACAGCCCATCCTCTGACCTCCACACACATGCTGTGGCACACGTGTGCCTTCACGTAAGCCATAAATATGCTTATAAAAAGACACCACACACACACCTTTTCTCCTCTCTCTCTCTCTCTCTCTCTCTGGAAACAGAGTTTCTCTGTGTAGTCCTGGCTGTCCTAAACTTGCTTTGTAGACCAGGCTGGCCTCAAACTCACATCAATCCACCTGCCTCTGCTTTCCTGACTGCTGGGATTAAAGGTGTGTGCTATCACACCAGGCCACACACACCCTTTCACTGGGCTGGGTGCCAGTAATCTAAACCCTAGGAAAATAGGGGCTGGAGGATTAGGAGTTCAAAGCTAGCCTCCATTACAAACTGAGCTGAATGTCAGTCTGAGCCATGTGAGACCCTGTATGAAAAAGACATATCAACAACAGCAACCACCTTCCCCCAAATAGCCCCCACGGTAGCTGGCTAGTGTTGCCTGTAATTCCAGCCCTGGGGGCGGGGGCAGAACCAGGGAGACCTGGGCTTCACCAGTCATGTTACAAGCCCAGATGCTGCAGGGGGAGCTGCCCGGATATGAGGACACTTAATTGACCCAGGCAAGTGCGGGGTGAGCCTCTGAGTTTCTCGCGCCTGCTCCTGGAGGGTCTGCAGACTCCAGCCCTGATCCCCTGACAAGCCTCTTGCCCCGGCCTGTCTGGCTTCGCTACACCTACCCTGCGCATTACCTTGTCCCTGACAGCCAGGCAGATCTCCCAGCTGCAGTGTGGACTCTACAAAACAGCATCTGCCTTGACACCCCCTCCCCCATCCAATGCATGTTCAGTGGCAAACGGACTCACAGCGGTCTTGCCCTGGGATTGTGACAGCAGAAATGTCTGCTGCTGATTTCCGTAGCCCCATTCCTGGCCAAGGCTGGCACACATCAAGTGCTCAATAAGTGCTTCCTGCAGCAATTATGGAGATGCCCCTGGCTGGGTAGGATCCCTTGGGTACTCAGTAAGTAGCCTGGGTAGCAGTTGGTTGAAGCATGACCCAGACACCCACAGTGGTGATAAGGAGCTGCCCCAGCCCGGGCTCGTGCTGTCCCAGGGACTAGACGTGCTAGGTCCCCATGCAGGTGAGACGCCGTCTAGGCTGGGCTGGGCTCCAGAGGCAATGCAGGGGAGCAAACCCGGGTGCAGCGAGTGGGGACGGCTTCTGCTTCTCCTCAGCTTGCTCAGGGTGTGGACGACACCTCAGGGGACGGGCCTCACGGCGAGGGGCCCTGCTGCTGGGGGGGGAGGGGAGTCCAGGTGCCTCGTGTTGAGGCAGGCTGTGGGAAGCAGCTCAGCTACTTCTGGTGCCAACAGCCGCCCACCCCACACAGCCCTTTCTCGCAGGGACACCTCCTCCCCAGGGAGGCCACCAGGATTTAAGAGACAGTCTGCTAGATGGCCCTTCAGTGTGTGGGTGGCCCTGCCCCTTACCCCAGGCTGCTGGGGTGAGCTCTCTCCACCTCAGCAGACACTGGCTACGTCTGAGGCCCATGGACTCTGAGGCCCTTGTGATTAGAGAGGCCCTTAATGGCTGCACAGGGCATTCAGTGTACACAGGCCCTGTTCCTGCTGGGCCCTAGGGTCTTGCCTCTGGAGGCTACAATCTGAGGACCCAAGGGCCTCTTCCTTTCAGTCTCCAAGTCTCAAACTCCCGGAAGTTTCCCTTTGATGGGAAGACTGTGTAGAACTAACACGTTTCCAGAGTTGGGGACAGAATAGACAGTGGGGTCTGACCTTGTCACTGGAACCCGGGGACACATGGAGGGATCTGGGTATCCTGGAAGCCTGGCCCCACATGGCCCAGCCTTAGACAACCTGTGAGCGGAATGCCTCGGCCCTGTACCTCCTACAGAGGTCCTTTCAGCCCCTTAACCCAGGCCCCCTGCCACAGGGGCGACCCTACATTCCACACAGCCTGTAGCTTTAAGCCTCCTGCTGGGCTGTCCCCTGCAAACTGCTTGTTCCACATTCTCGGGGTGGTGGGGTGGGTGGGGTGCCGGCACGCCCTGGGGAGGATGGCTATAAGGCAGGGCTCCCCGGGCCCCTGGAGAGCTGAGGATTTGCTACCGGGCGGGCGCTTCACATGGGTCTGCTGCTCCTGGGTGTCTGGGGGATCATGCTGTTCCTGGGGCTCTGGGGGCTACTCCGGGGCTGTGCCTGGGACCCCACCCTGGCCCCTCGGTGGCCCCCTGGGCCTCGCCCTCTGCCATTCCTGGGGAACTTGCATTTGCTGGGTGTGACCCAACAGGACCGGGCGCTGACGGAGGTAGGGTGAGCAGCCCTCTGTCACCTCGCAGCCTGGATGGTATCCCTGTCCCAGCCCAGACAGGGGAAACCAGTAGGAGATGCAAGAAGCCACGATGGGCTTGTCCCAAGGGAGCAGATTTGGAAGTGACCTAGGTTGGGGAGTGTCGTTCATTGCTGTGTGCTTGTTTCGAATGCTCTGGGACTTGGTTCTAGCCCAGCACTGCAAATAAAAGAAAGAATATATAAACAAATACAGCAGGGAAGTGCAGCCCAGGGTCAGGGTTCAGGAGTGGGGGGCAGGGTGGGCTCCCTGGGGTGTGAATGGGGGAAAGCCTGCAGGTTCGGGGACAATGAGGAAGAGCTGAAGCAGGGTAGAGCTGCATAGAGCAGTGCCCTTGTCTGAGTAGGGTGTTTCTGGGGTACGGCTTCTCCCCAGGACCCAGAAGGGATGCTAGCTGCACTGCCACTAGCCAGGGCTAAATGGTTCAGTGGGGGTTGGGGGGAGGTCCTTGAACTTTGTCTTGGGGGGGTTGTTTGCAGAGAAGTCTACATAGCTTCAGAGTTACCTTCGAGTGGCTCTGCTCCACCTTTCCTAGGGTAGATCAGATTAGACTCCAATGTGGCTGCAAGCACTGGTTTAGGGGTTCAGGCCTTGCCTCAGGGCTGAGTCTGAGGAGCAGACATCTGTAGGCCCAGCCATGGCTTTTGGGAAGACCCACACAAATTAAACTCCTGCTTTCCCAGTTTCAGCGTTTTGTCTCTGAAATGGGGAGATGGCAGTCTGACCAGTGCCCCCTCTTGGAGACTGGAGGGGCTCGTGGGGTTCCTGACAGCTCTTAATTGCCCAGCCTCCACACAGTACTGCTGTCGCTAAGCCCAGCTCTTGGAAGGCGGGTGGAGGCCGCCTGCCTGACGCCTGTCTGTCCCCACCAGCTCTCCGAAAGCTATGGGCCAGTGTTCACAGTCCACCTGGGAGCTCAGAAGACCGTGGTGCTGTCGGGCTACGAGGTGGTGAGGGAGGCCCTGGTTGGGACTGGGCATGAGCTGGCCGACCGGCCCCCAATCCCCATCTTCCAGCTCATCCAGCAAGGAAGGGGTAAGGGCACGGGGAGGGGCATTGGCCTCTTGGAGTGGTACTGGGGAGGGACAGGAGCAGTGATTGCAAACCAAGAGGAGTACGACCCGGGGTAACCTCTGAATGGGAGGAGCTTGGAGTCCAGCCAACGGCCCCCCAAAGTGGGGCCCCTGTTCCCTGCATACATCAGCAGGAGCGGCTGGCACTCACGGCTCAGGTCTACCTGGCAGGCATCTTCTTTTCTTCTGGAGCTCACTGGAGGGCAGCTCGCCAGGTCACGGTGCGCACGCTGCACAGCCTGGGTGCGGGACAGCCACCCATGGCAGCCAAGGTGCTTCAGGAGCTGGCCTGTCTTGAAGCACAGCTGGACAGCTACGGAGGTGAGTCGGGGACCAGGGTGCCCCTCCCGGCATCCCTGCCCACCTGAGGCCTGCCTTCCTCCCTGACCTCCAGGCCAGCCCTTCCCCCTGGCCCTGCTGGGCTGGGCGCCCTGCAATGTCACCTTCACGCTCCTCTTCGGCCAGCGCTTTGACTACCAGGACCCCGTGTTCGTGTCCCTGCTGAGTCTCATTGACCAGGTCATGGTCCTGTTGGGGTCACCTGGCATACAGGTGAGAGGTTGTCACCCCATAGCAGACTGAGCCCTAGTTGAGCTGGGGCGTGGGGGCAGCTCTGAACCCTGAGGTCAGGGGCGGCTGGTTCCCAGCACTGGTCCCCCTTCCCCCAGCTGTCAGCCCTGTCACTCTTCAAACAAGGGGTGCTGGGGCTGGGGACGTGGCCTCATTGGTAGAGCACTTGCCTGGCATGTATGCAGCTATGGGTTTCGTCCCCAGCACCCCATAAACCGGACCTGTGGTACACACCTGTAATCCGATCACTCTGGAAATGAGTCAGGGGCTCATAAATCCAAGGGCATCCTCATATTGAGTTTAAGGGCGGCTGAGGCTACATGAGACCCTGTTTTGCAAAACAAACATAAGATGGACAAACATATGACACTGGTGTTGGTTGGCATGTTTTGCACCAAGTCCTACGCTCCCTGGCAGCTGGGACATCTGGACCGAGCAGTCCCACCTTTCCCCATATCCCTCACAGTGACAGGAGGAGGGGAGGTCCCGGAAGGAGGTCCAGAGGTCCCGCACACCAGGCACCTTTCCTTGTATTTATTTTTTGAGAGAGGGTCTCTCTAGTCCTGACTTTCCTGGAACTATCTATGTGGACAAGGCTGGCTTCGGACTCACTGAAACCCACTTGTCTCTGCCTCCTGAGTGCTGGAACTAAAGGTGTGTGCCACCTGGCTAGGCACCTTCTTGACCACAGCCTCCTCATCACAGAAATCACAAAAAATCATCCCTGCTGATGTCCAGGGCCCTAGAGTCTAAAGAGTCCTGGCTTTGAGCTAGACACTGAAGCCTAGACATTCAGCATCCAGCACTAGCCCTTACTGCTCGGCCCTGGCTCAGACTGAGCCCCACAGGGATGGGGGGGCAGCCACTGTGGTGAGTGTGCCCTCAGGCTTGGGTTTCCACTCAGGTAGTCAGAACAAGCAGTGAGCTCAACCCCAGAGTACTCCCTGGGGGATGGAGGAGGAGGGGGTCCGGGTAGTAGAGATGGGCCTCAGCACTTTAGAGAAATATGTGGCATTTCCAGCCAGCAATTGCCAATATAGGGGCAGCTGGAATTCTGAACACTCCAGACCCACTCCACTGTAAGCCTCCCAAGACCTGTGAGCTACCCTATAGCTGTGACTCCTTCTCCATGGTAGCCATCCCTCTCCTGCCCTTCCCCTTCGTCACTGATCCCCAGGCAGCCATCACGGTTGCTTCTTGCACAGAGCCATCCAAGTGTATCAGGTCAGCTGGCTCCTTCCTGAACACCGAAATATCCTCCTGGCCCCTGGACTCCCAGGACAAGCATCCAGCACGTCTGGTGCCCTCTTGTGGCCGGGGGCAGCATTGCCCTGCCACGTTGGTCCAGAGCCTGGAGCCGGATGCGCCTGCTGATGGCTTACTCATAGGAACTGTCTGTCACCTCACCTCTACCCCACCCCGCTGTCTCGCCCACTCTCAGCTATTCAACACCTTTCCCCGGCTGGGCGCCCTGCTGCGGTTGCACAGGCCTGTCTTGAGCAAGATCGAGGAGGTGCGGGCCATCCTGAGAACCCTCCTGGAGGCTCACAGACCGCCCTTGCCAAGCGGCCGCCCCCGAAGTTATGTGGAAGCTCTTCTTCAGCAGGGCCAGGTGTGGGCAGAGCCAGGGAGTCCTCAGAGACCCGTGGTGGGCGGGGGTGGGGCCCCAGCTCAGGGGAGGGGTACTGGGTGAGGGCTCTTTCCCATCTACTGGGGACCTCTGGGAGTGTCGGTCTCCTCCTCCTCGCGCCTGGCCCCTGAGAGTACCCGGAGTGCGGAGTGCACAGTGGGGCTGGGCGGACCTCCAGGCCTGACTGCTACCCATCCTCTGGGCCACAGGACTGGGCTGGGGTTGGCTCCTCGGAGATTCAAGCCCAGTTCTGACCACCTGCCTGCAGGAGGATGACCCCGAGGACATGTTTGGTGAGGCCAATGTCCTGGCCTGCACACTGGACATGGTCATGGCTGGCACAGAGACCACGGCAGCCACGCTGCAGTGGGCAGTCTTCCTGATGGTTAAGCATCCTAGAGTGCAGGGTGAGAGTCCCTCCACGGTAGGGGGCGGAACCCCCTAGGGGTCAGGGGTGAGCATTCACCCAGAGTGCCACCCTTGGGCCTAGGTCGTGTGCAGGAGGAGCTAGACCGAGTGCTGGGCCCTGGGCGGCTACCCAAGCCGGAGGACCAGCGGGCCCTGCCCTACACTAGCGCCGTGCTGCACGAGACACAGCGGTACATCACGCTCCTGCCCCACGTGCCCCGCTGCACGGCTGCTGACGTCCAGCTGGGTGGCTACCTGCTCCCCAAGGTGGGGCCCGCCTCCTTCTTTCCTTTGACCTGGGGTTTGTAGGGGACTTCCTGGGTCTCATAGCCACCTGTGAGAGTGTGACTCCCATGTGGGGCAGGTGGGAGGAGCTCCCCCAGGCGGCACTCTGCCTCCTCCCTTCCCCTTTGAGCCCATCTGCCTACCCTGGCACCCCTCTGGCCTACAGGGCACTCCCGTGATCCCTCTGCTGACCTCGGTGCTCCTGGACAAGACCCAGTGGGAGACCCCAAGCCAGTTCAACCCACACCACTTCCTGGATGCCGAAGGCCGCTTCGTGAGGCGGGGGGCCTTCCTGCCTTTCTCCACTGGTAACCTGCTGGCCCTCAGCTTTCCGAGGGTGCCTCAACCAGCTCTCGCCCACCCCTCTCCCCTCCAGGAGCAGGGCGGGCACCCGACACAGTGCTTCAATTTCTCTTGCAGGCCGCCGCGTCTGCGTTGGGGAGAGCCTGGCCAGGACAGAGCTCTTCCTGCTGTTCGCTGGCCTCCTCCAGCGGTACCATCTGCTGCCCCCGCCCGGCCTCAGCCCGGAGGACCTGGCTCTGCGGCCCGCCCCAGCCTTCACTATGCGGCCACCTGCCCAGACCTTGAGAGCTGTGCCTAGGTCCTAGGGTGCTCACACACTGGAAAACGACCACAGCCTAGCCTACCCAGGGTGCACTGCAGGCGATGGGGCAGATGTAGTGTTCCCAGCAATGGATGATGGACAAACAGTGCCTGCACTGTCCCTCCGGACCACAGTGGGGCCAGATTGCCTGCCGGCTGGAAGCTGGCCTTTCGTCTGGGCCTCAGGGCAGGCAGGCATACCTGCCCAACCCAGCAGCCCTACTGGCTTGATATGGTGCTTGCAGAGTCCTAACCCACCTTCCGGCCTACATCCCAAATACCTCACACAGCTCCACACTCTGGTTCCCAAGGCAGCCAAATCTCCAGAACACAGGGTCCACCCCAGTCCCTTCACTGTTCCCCCCGCCCCCAGGCCCTATCGTTGGCTGCACCCAGGCTCCCACCAGGCCACGGTGGTCCCCATACCCAGATGTCTGGCCTGTAGCCCTTCCACAGCCCACAGTGTACCCTTGTACCCTCCCATCTCCCTAGGGAGAGTCTGCCAGCCAGTTTGGGGTGCTCCACCTTTGGCTGGTGCCAAGGGGACCCCAGGGGCTGCCTGAACTTGACCACAGGTGGCATTTCTGTTGTGACGACACTCTGTGGTCACCTGAGGCAGGAATGCATGAGGAAAAGAGCCTCTTCCCACTGACATCCTAGGAACCTTTCCCAGCTTCCAGATGCCAGCTCTCACTGACAGTGAGGAACCCACCACATTTCGCTTTTTGACTTGGCTCCCAAGAAACTCAGAGCTACACTTCCTGATCCTCCCACCCTGCTCCTTTGTGTTGTTTGTATTCCTGGCTTCTCAGTGTGCTCACCTGAGGCTCTGAAACTCTCAGGCTGACAGCCCAGCTCCGGCAGAGCCCTCTTCAGCAGCAGCCCTGCAGCCCCTGGTACGGCTGAGGACAGTGCGGGGCTTCCCCAAGTGGGAAAGGCCAGGGCTAGATGCCACTTTGATCAGCAGGAGCCAGCCGGAGCACGTGTGAGACCCAGATCAGGCGACACTAGGGTTGCTCCTGGCGAGGAGAGCCTGGCGGTTGGTGACAGGCTAGTGCTGACTGAAGGGACATGAATGAGTTACCCTTGGGCGCTGACGGCGCACAGCTTTAGTGCTGAAAGCACTAAGTTTAATTAAACCTGAGGTGATAGAAGTGACAGACACAGGCTGGGGACAGGGCTTTGTAGGTGAGGTCGGGTCTGGCTACAGACAGCCAGATCGCCTGGGACCCGTGACCCAGGGAGAGGTCCATGCTTTGGCTGGCTGCCTGTCTCCCCACATAGCTATAGTACTAGGCCACTGTGTCCAAGTGCTAGCGACCTGTGAGAAGACCATCCCTCTGTTTGAGAACAGCCTTTTGTGTGTGTGTGCAGCCCTGGCTATCCTGGAACTCACTCTGTAGACCAGGCTGGCCTTGAACTCAGAGAGCTGCCTGCCTTTGCCTCCATGTCCATCCTAACAGTTGACCCAGGGACAGCTCAAGTGAGCTGGTAGGCTGGTAGGCTGGCAGGGTTAGAGGGCGCTGGCCCAGCTCATCTTCTCTTCTGCCACTGGGCATGACTTGCTTAGGGATTGTGGAAGTAGGGACCGCCCTCTAGTGGCAGTAGGGTCTGAATGGCCGGCCCTGGAACCCTGGCTGCTCTCACAGGCTCCGGAGGCTGTGGAACGCCTGGCCCTCCAGGCGCTGAGGGCAGCCCGGCTTCAGCCCAGCTGTCCCATCTCCTCGCTGTGACCCATGTTCTGACCACTTGGAGCGGCACGTGGGTGGTGGAACTCTGTCCTCTGGGCTGCGGATCAGAGCAGCTGTCATCACCCGAAGGAGGGCCTTGAGGGCCTGGGCTTGTCAACATCCCACGTAGGAAATATGTGCGTGGAAGGTCACCTGAGTGCTCTGAGTGCCCAGCCACAATCCCCTCCTGCCTCCTTAACTGTGGGCTGCAGCCTGCTTGGGCAGAAAATGCCGGGCAAGGCAGACATTCTGTGCAGTGATCAAAACTCACAAGTAAAAGGTGAGGCTGGTTTGTGTCAGTCAGTGCACTCCTTTATACCAGCACTCGGGAGGGGGAGGCAGAGGCAGGTGGATCTCTGAGTTTGAGTCCAGCCTGGTCTACACAGTGGGTTCCAGGTCAGCCAGGGCTACACAGAGAAACCTTGTCTAGAAAAACGAAAAGAAAAGAAGAAAAAGAAAACAGTAAAAGGTGTTACAAATCCTGGTTGTTTCCTGGTGTCATACAGCACGATTCACCTGCAGTCTTGGTTCTGAACACACACACTATCCGCGTCCTCATGACATGTAATACACAGCCTGAAACCCCTTGGCCCAGGGCCAGGTAGTTTCAGTCTTGGGGCTTTATTTGGTTTTGAGACAGGCTTTCTCCGTGTAGCCCAGGCTGTCCTGGAACTCACTCTGTAGACTAGGCTGGCCTAGAACTCAGAGATCTGCCTGAGAGCTGGGATTATGCATGAGAGTCTCAGGGCTTTAAGGACAAAGGTTTCAGTCTTAAAGCCGCTTATGGAAAACAGCCTTCCATGGTTTTGTCTCCCCCTCAGCCTCTCAGAAACAAAGCTATGTTATCTGCAGATTGTGCCGAAATAAACAGTCATGAATATGCAAATGTGCTTTCATCTTTAATAAATTGCAAATTATATGTATTCAGAATTGTTTTAAAATAAACTTCTCATGATCTAGTATACATTTATCTGTAAACCTCTTTTATATACTTCTATAGCCAGGGGACACTTTGGTGCAAAGGGTGCTTTGGGCTGGAGAACAGGACACAGAAGGCGGACACTGCATGGCTTCCTCGAGGACCCCAGGGAACCCACTGCTCACTGAGCTAGACTTGTGTCGCCCATCCCCCGTGGCTGTCTGTGCCCTCCCTATGTGGCTTTTATGGATGACTCCATGGTCTGAAGGGAAAGTCCCCCAGTGGGAGTGGGTATGTGTTCTGATGGTGACACCAGTCCAGACAGAAATGTAAGGTCATTCGTTTCCAACAGGCTGGCTGAGACAGTCAATGAAAAATGAATGCTGCTGGCCCGTGGCTGCTGAACTGAGGAGGATCACAGAGCAGCAGCCTCTGGTAGCTTGTGGGCAGCCGCACGGGCCCAGGGTCCTCGCTACAGGCCCCTAGCGGGTCTCCCTGCAGACAGGTGAGTTACGTCTAGGCTGCACTGCAGAGGCCCTGACTGAGTACGTAGGAGACCACCACCCCAACAGCAGGGAGTCCCGGTTGATGGAGAAAGCCAGCATGGGCCAGTCTCTAAGATATACCTGGTGGGAAAACAGAATCTGTTCACAGCCACGCTGGGGCCACAGACGCGCGGGTGGCACCTCGGAGTCAGGAGACCATGTTCAAGTCTAAAGGCATCAGCTTGTAGGGAGGGGGATGGAGGGCTCTTCCCAGAACTTAGGAAGGAAGTCCTCGAGCCAGATAAGCTTCTGGAGACCTGCTTGATCCCATAGTGGTGGGAGGAGGTGGCCAGGGTGTCCTCAGGGCCCAAGGCTGCCCCCTCCCATTAGGAGAGCAGCTGCAGCACCTGCCGGAGGCGCTGCACCTTCCCCAGCGGCGGGTCTCTGGCCTCATCCATCTCCTGCATCAGGGCCTCAGCCTTCTGGATCGTCAGCTCTCGGGCACTGCCCTTCAAACCCTCGAGGTAGTTCAGCAGGGTAAAAAAGTGCTCATCAGGGACCTGGAGGGCGAAGGGGGCAGTGTTGAGGGCCAGGGCATGGGGACCCTGAGCAGTGGGCAGGCAAGGTACTCACGTGGAGACAGCAGCAATGGGAGACTGGGCTTTCTCCCCGTGTTTGCGGGGGGGCTGGGGGGACAACCTACGTCACCCTCACGATGGGGTCTCCCACCAGAGCTGTGTGCAAAGGACCCCAGACCGCCTGTTGCTCTTTGTCAGGACAAGAAGTGGGCACACGTGGGAAAGAGGCCAATGCGCAGGCTCGGCACTCCCGTGACTCAGACATTCCCTATATACATTTTAAAAACTTCTTTTCTTTTGAGACATCATCTCTAGCCCAGGCTGGCCTTGAACTTGCTAAATACCCAAGGATGACTGTACAACCCCTCATCCTTCTCCCTCTCCTGGGGCAGTGCTGGGATTACGGGTGTGTACCACCATACCCGGTTTATACAGTGCCCGCTGGGCACACGCTCCGCCCACAAGCCCCAGCCTCTGACTCTGTTTCTATTAAGATCGTCTGTTTTCAGTATATCCACCTCCGTATAGAGGAGGTGCATGTCCTTGCCTGAAGGTGGGTGGGGCTGACAGGCATGGCTCCCACTTGGTGCCTCCAAGGGGCACGCAAGGCGCATCCTACGCCCTGTGCGACAGAACAGTGACACATAAGGGGACTGCCTGCCTGCCCTGGGGGGAGGGGTGTGAAGCTCCAGCAAGACAAAGGGCTTCTGGGAGCTCAGGGTGGCTCCTGCCCCTAACTTAGCTGGGAGGCTGTTTCCAAATTCTACCGCATCCCAAGGAACCAAATCCTGCCTTGAGAAGAGCCCAGCACATGCACACTCTTGCACAGGTGCACAGGCAGGTGACACTGGGGACAAGAAAGGGATCAAGGGTCCTGGCAAACGGGTAGAGGGGACCCCACGACGCACGGGACCACAGGGGCTACGTGTGCCTACGTGTGCAGAGTCCCTCTCCTGGGTCCTCCCCGCTGTAGATGGACCTCATAGCAGGTGAGCTGCCCTCCCTGTGGAGGACCCCATCTACGTGTCCGCCCACCACACACGGCCTCTATGGGCTGAATGTCCACTGCCCATGGAGGGCCCACCCTGGCCGGACCACCGTGAGCACACCTTGTCCTCGTCATACATGTGCAGCAGGAGCCATGTCTGCCTCGTCTTCTGGAATTTCCAGCTCTCCTGCTTCCGGGCCCACCTGGGAACCAAGACAGACACTCAGGGTATGGAGAACAGTCCCGGGGCTCAGGTCACCTGAGAACATGGTGGCAGAGTCTGGCTCAGGGGGATACCCACTTTGGGGGTCCCTCAGTCTACCTGGGCTCCTACATTTGTAACATTAGGGATACAGCGCCATTTTCCAGCTCCACAATTCATTTTACAACATGAACGGGAGCTCCTTCTAGATTTCCTGAATTCATGAACTCTTTTATGCCTTTTCTTTTTTTTTTTTTGAGACAGTCTTGTATAGCCAAGCTGGCCTCAAATTCACCGTGTAATCAGGCTGATGACCATGCCTCAGTCTCTAAGTGCTGGAACTATAGAAGAGTGACAACATGCCTGGCTCAATTATTGATCTTTTCCTTTCTACTTTCATGTGTGTGCACATTTGCAAGCTTGCAGGTGTATGTGTGTGTGTGTGTGTGTGTGTGTGTGTGTAGGTCTGAGGTTGGAAATCACTGCAATCATTCTTCCAGGGGCTCTTAATCAAATGCAGATCTTGCCAATATGGCCAATCTCCCTAGCCAGTTTGGACTGGGGATTCCTAATCTCTGCCATCTGAAGATGGACTTACAGGCAGGCCCCACGCTTTTACTTGAGTTCTGGGGAGCCACACTTGATCCCCCAGCTTCTATGGTAAACGTTTTAAGGACTGAGTCCACTCCCCAGCCTTGGTTCATGAATTCATCACTGGTGTTTCTGCCTAGGCTGGGGCAGGTCTGGAACGTGCCATCATTAGTGGACATTTCCTTGCAGGCCCCTGAGTGACTGGGCATGACCACCAGCCCACCCGCCAAGTCTCTACATCCTCCTGGGCAGAGGCACCAGGGTGGAAGGACCAAGCCTGGTACTCAGCCTCGCACCTCGGGCCCTTGCTCTGGCTCTCACAGCTGCTGCACAAGGCTCACAGGCTGTCTGTCCACTGAAGCCACAGTTCCTCATCGTCCTCCTGAGCTCTACCCAATACCCACCTGA